GCACCCCCAGCGCGGTTCCGCGTGGGGCGGCCGGGGTCCCCCGGGATCCAGTGCCTGTGATGAATCCTCCCTCCCTCCCTCTCTCAGCTCCGGGCAGCCATCTTAGCCTCCTCGGCTTCCTGCCCCTGCCCTGCCTACACCTCCCAGCATGCCTCACGCCTGCCGGCTCCCATCTGCTGCCGGTGCCGCTCACCGCGCTGCCTGCACATTCCTTTTAAGGCCCGCACCGCCATGGCCCCACCGAATCCCCAACCAGCTCCCCCTGACCCTTCCCGGCCCCGGGACTCACCTCCTCGCGCATCTTCTTCACGGATTCCCCTTTCTGTGAGGAGGGAGAGAAGAGAGAAGCATTAGCCAGGCTGTGCTGGGCAGTGGCGGGGCGGGGGGAAGGAGGGAGGCAGGACCAGGGGGTTTGTTGCTCACTTACCTTCCCAATGATGCTTCCCACCTCCTGGGATGGAAACAAAAGCAGCAATTAGTGCTTAAAAAAACCTCCAGGAGGCTCAAGCTTAAACAACTCCATTTTATAGCCAAAAAAAGTTCCTCAGGACCCCAGATATCCCCCCCCAGACGTACTGGCACCTTTGTCCCAGCTGAACTGTCCATCAGGTCGCTTTTCCCCCCTTCCCGGGCTTTATTTTTATTGATGCGCCACGCTTTGAAAGCGCTGCCTTCCTCGTCATGAGATATCCAGGAGCCGGCCGGGTGCCAAGGAGCACATTCCTAACCCGGCTGCCTAATGGCTGCAGTAACGAGGCAGCTCGAGAGACGTCCGTCCAACGCAATTTACTGCTGTGGAAGAGCTCAGTCTCCATCCGGGCTGCTGGAAGGGCCACCCTCACGTCAGGCGAGGGGGCTTCGGCACGGCCCCACGTCCCGCCCAGGCTGGAGAGGACACGTACCTTTCCGTGCATGAGTAGTCGGATGGTGAGCGTGACATTTAAACCACCTTCAATGACACCGGTGTCCATCTTGAGCTGCGTCGGGTTGAGTCAGGCTTTGTCAGTGGTCAGATCTTTGGTCACTGGGAGAGCAGAGCTAGGAATGAGAGAAGGGTTGCGTTTGACGGGCTGTGCCAACCCTCCCCAGACGGTTTCTGACCCATCCTGGGGGGATTCAAGCCCCTTTGGGTTTTTTTTCTCCCCCTGAATATCCCCCCTGGCAGTTCTAGGGCCACGCTCCTCTCCAAGCAGCCATCAGGAGAGCCAATTCACAGTGGCTCAGCTCCCCAACAGGCTGCTCCTCCTGCCAGGAGTTTCCCAAGGCAGATGAGCTGAACTGGCACAATCCCACCTGCACCGAGCAACAGCCAGAGCTGCGAGGGTCTCGCTCATCCCCTGCCTCCCTCCAGCCCCGCTCCTCTCAGAGGCTTCACCTACAGCTCTGGGGAAACTTGCCTCTACTTGTGAGCCCTACACCTTAATCTAGATCACAAGCTTTCCTCCGCAGCTGTGTGTAGACACGCACACACGCCAGACGGAACAACCGCCATGTTTCCCTTTGGTTTAACCCGCTTGGGGAGGCAGGCTGTTGAGAAAATAAAATATAATAACTTATCTGTGCCCTGAGTCTGCGTGGGGAGGCCTTTCAGACCGGTTTCCAAGTTGATTTACTCAAACCAGATAAGGCCACATGAGCACACGATCAGGTTTCAAACAACCTGCAGCTCGAGTCGACAGCAGTTGCAAAACACCATGACCAGCCACCAGCTCTGCTAGTCAGCCATTTAACTTTAAAAATAAATTACATAAAAACAAGAGCTGAAATTTAGTTTATCAGCGCAGCTAGATCATCGCCCCATCAAAGTTTAACCAAGGCCAGGGAAAGGAGAAGCCGGGGAGAGGGCAGGGGGGATTAATCTGGCAGAGGACCAAGGAGGCAGCGCTGCCACGATCCGGGTTAATGCTCTTTTAAGGGGAAGCCGCTGGCACAGAAAGGCTTTTTTTTTTTTTTTTGCCGTAGCGAGGAGTTACGGCCTGCGTAAAACTCAGCCTGACATCCCGTCGGATCCAAAAAGGCGCCCGTTTGCCTAGTTTGGAAAGAAGGGCTCCGGATCTGAGCCCGGTGGCGGCGGAGCGAGGAGGAGAGTCTAGACCTAAGCCCATGAGTTGGTTGTTTACGAGTTTCCCGGTTCACGGGAGGTGGCAGAAGCCTCACTGGCATCCGCCGCCGTCTCTCCGGCTCTGAACCCACTCCTCCTCCCACCAGTTCAGCGTCCCAGTTCGCCTTCGTTAGCATTAATTTGCTTTCCTGGCAGCAGTTTTGCCAGTCGAACGAGCTTGGGTCGGTTACGGAGCCGCCTCGCAGCCCGCTGGGGACAAAAGGAGCCGACCAAACCTGCCGGGGGGTTACGCAAAGGGAGAAGCGAAGCTGTGTGGGGCAGGCCGAGGCCGGTGAGCCAGCCCTCACTCCGATGCGGGCTCACAGCGAGTCTCTTCCACAGGAAAACTTCCCCCAAACTTCTCCTTACCTCCATCCGGCAGCCCTGCCTACCCCCACGGTGCACGTGGAGGGCCTGGCCCCTGCCTGCTGCCTGTACTGGGATCAAACACCCACCCGGGGGCCTCCCTGCTCAGGATCCCGGCCCCAAACTGGGACCATTTTGGGGGGAGGAACTGGTTGCCAGGGCAGGAATTTTTGGCTGGAAAA